CATTCAGAAAACTAAGATCATGGCATCTGGTCCCATCACTTCATGGTAAATCGATGGGGAAACAGTGAGAAACTTTTTTTGGGGGCTCCAAAATCACTGTAGATGGTGACTGAAGCCATGAAATTAAAAGATGCTTGCTCCTTGAAAGAGAAGTTGTGACCAGCCTAGCAGCATATTAAAAAGCAGAGACATTACTTTGCTGACAAAGGTGTGTGTAGTCAAAGCTATGATTTTTCCAGTAGTCATGTATGGATGTGAGAGTTGGGACTATAAAGAAACCTGAGCACTGAAGAATTGATGCTTTTGAACTGTGGTGTTGGAGAAGACTCTTGAGAGTCCCTTGGACTGTAAGGAGATCCAACCAGTCCATCCTAAAGGAAATCAGTCCTGAATATTCATTGGAAGGACTGATGTTGAAGCTGAAGCTTCAATACTTTGGCCACCTGATGCGAAGAGCTGACTCACTGGAAAAGACCCTGATGCTGGGAAGGATTCAGGGCAGGAGGAGAAAAGGGTGATAGAGAATGAGATGGTTGGACAGCATACCGACTTGAGGACATGAGTATGAGCAAGCTCCGGGGGATAGAGTAGGACAGGGAAGCTTGGCATCCTATGGTCCATGGGGTAGCAAAGAGTCAGACATGACTGAGAGACTGAACAACAAAAACAATTAATTAAGCACAAAAATCATAACAGAAATAGGGGAAGATTTGAGGATAGTCAAAGTTCTCGAAGTGGATCCCTGGAGGGGTAACAGCCGTGTCACCTGAAGCCTTGTTAGATATGCAGATACTTAGGCTCACCCTAGACCCACTGAACACTCCTCTGGGTGGAGGCCCGCCTTTTGTGTTTTAGCAAATCTTTAAGGATGTTCTGATGCATGTTAAAGTTTGAGGGCCATTATACAGTTGACTTGCTGAAGACTAGGAGCCATGGGAACCTTTTGAAAGGTCTGGAGGTTAGGTGGCTGCTGATTGAGTTAGGAAAGTCAGGAGCGCAGAGAAAGAGTGAGGGTTGATGGTGATGCTTTGGTTTTGCTGCTGTCGTTTTCCAATCAGAGGCAGGAACTTAAAACAAGGTTAGGACCCACCCCATTCTTTATCCCCTGGAGTAGGAAATGGCAACTCACCCCAGTATTCTTGCCTGGAAAATTCAGTGGGTAGATAAAGGAGCTTAGCAGGTTACAGTCCATGGGTTTCAAAGAGTCAGACAACAGCTGAGCGACTAAGCACAGAAGGACGATTCTTCTATAACCTAGAGATTTGACAATCTTTGATTAGAGTTAGGATTCATTTAAAGGAAATTTATTCCTTTTATCTAACACGACTTACTTAGAACCTGGTTATTTTCAGTGGACCTTGTTTGCCTCATTTTAATTTTTCAGAGAATTTTGAGAAAAGTATTGGCCCTCCGGAGTACAGAGCAGGTAGCTCTGCTACAAAGGTGTTTTTGAAGGAAGGCTATGTTGGTGGCATTACTCAGCTAATTAACAACAGTCCATTAATGTTGAAAAAGCATCTCCTACTTGTGAGGTATTGTTTGGAAGATTCCAGGAAGTAGAAGGTGTTGCTTGCCCTTAAGGGATATGCACCGAATAGCCAGGTGCACGTGGAAAGTTTACTAATTCAAAAGCAGTGTGCCAGATGTGTGCTGGAGACAGGAGGTACTAGGGATGTTCAGAGGAGGGAGAAATCATGCCTTTTTTCATTATGCTAATGGGGAGATCGCTGCCCTGCCCGTGACTCAGAATATAAAGCATCTGGCGCACTGTGAGTACCTAAAGGTTTCCTTCTTTCAAATTTTGTAACATTAATAGAGATTGAAACTTCCCCAGTGGCTCAGACAGTAAAGAATCTGCCTGCGCTGCAGGAGATCTGGGTTCGATCCCTGGGTCGGGAAGATCCCCTGGAGGAGGGAATGGCTCCCCACTCCAGTATTCTTGCCTGGAGAATCCCATGGACAGAGGAGCCTGGTGGGCTACTGTCCTTAGGTTGCAAAGAGTCAGACACGACTGAGTAACTAACACTTGCACTTTCAATAGAGATCAAACATCTGAATATTAAGTCCTTGTCATAGAGATGCAGTTATTGTGTAACATATTGGCCCATTACAATAAAGAGATTTATTGGATGTGTTCATAAAATTAATTGTGAGGCAGCTATATCTTAAACACTGCCCAGTGGGATTTGGTTATCATAAAGCCTTCTGTTCAACTCACAGAATAACATCAGTTATACAGAGAAATTGAATTTGTATTCTTTGGCAGTCTGGAGATTACCAACTCTTATGATTGCCAGTTGGAATTTTCTATTTATTTGGAGGAAACTCATGCTTATTTGATTTAGTTTATCTGAAATCTAAGGGTTTCCCAGATAGCCCTGTAGTTAAGAATCCATTTGCAATATAGGAGACATGGGTTCGATCCCTGAGTTGGAAAGATCTCCTGGAGTTAGAAATGGCAACCCCCTCCAGCATTCTTGCCTGGGAAATCCCATGAACAGAGGAGCCTGACAGGCTACAGGTCCATGGGATCTCAAAGAGTTGGACACGGCTGAGTGACTCAGCACAGCACATCTGAAATCTCTGTTTTTTTCATTCCTTTTATTTGATAGCACACTGTCTTTTTTTTTTCTTTTTAGCAGTGTCTTCTTGCCACAAGTTCTTCTCCTAACTGTTTTA